GATCATGCGGGTGGCCCTCCTCTGGACCCTCTCAATGTTGTCCACATCCCTCCTGAAGTGGGGTGCACAGAACTGGAAACAGTACTCCAGCTGTGGCCTGACCAGTGTTGCATAGAGGGGGAGGATCACCTCCTTGGCCCTGCTTGAGATGCACCTGTGGATGCACGACAAGGTCCGGTTAGCCCTGCCAACCGTGACCTCGCATTGTTGGCCCATGTTCATCTTGGAGTCAGTAATGACTCTAAGATCCCTTTCTGCCTCCGTGCTGTCAAGAAGGGAGTCTCCCATCTTATAAGTGTGCTGCTGGTTACTACTGCCCAAGTGCGGCACCCTGCACTTGTCAGTATTGAAACGCATCCTGTTTTTGGAGGATTGGGTGCAAAAGAAATCTCATGAAGTTCAATAAGGGCAATCGCAAACTCTTGCACTTAGGATGGAACAATCCCATGCTGGGGACTGATGGGCTGGGGACTGATGGGCTAAGCAGTAGCTCTGCAAAAAAGGATGTGGGGGTTACAGTGGACAATAACCTGAATACAAGCCAATGGTGTGGCCTTGTTGCACAGAAGGCTAACAGCATATTGGGCTACGCTAGTAGGAATGTTACCAGCAGATTCAGGGAAGTGATTCTTCCCCTCTATTCAGCACTGGTGAGCCTATATCTAGAGTACTGTGTCCACTGTCGGTCCCCTCACAACAGAAAGGATGTGGAAGAATTGGAGAGAGTCCATCAGAGGGCAATGAAAATGGTTAGAAGGCTGGGGCACATGACTTCTGAGAAGAGGCTGATAAAACTGGTTTTCTTTAGCCTGGAGAAGAGAAAACTGTGGGTGGATTTAATAACTGCCTTCAACTACCTGAAGGGTGGTTCCAAAGAGTATGGAGCACTGGAACGGCCTACCCAGAGAGGTTGTGGAATCTCCATCTTCTGAGGTTTTAAAGACCTGGCTACACAAAGCCTTGGCTGGGATGATACAGTTGGGGATGGTCCTTCTTTGAGCAGGGGTGTAACATGGTGAGAGGGAGGAGGGGGAGTAATCCCACTCACACCCTTCTTCTTACTTTGCTTGAAGTATGTCACAGTTTCAGAAGCTGTGGGCTTCACCAACCTGCTTGCCCAGGCTCTGACACTAGCTCTGCTCCCACATTCATGTGGACAGTGCTGTGGAGCAGCCAAGCATCTCTCCCAGCTGGAGGCATCCCGAACAAGGGTTCCTGAGATTGCTGACAGCTTTCATGAGATGTGGGAACCCCAAACTCCTGGCAATGTTGGAAATCTACCTAACACAAGTGAATAGGACTCACTTGGAAGAGACTGGGACATCATGTGGGTGGCTGAAGCTGCTGCCAATTGGCTGAGAAACTGCAAGTAAAAGGAAGAGGAAGTGAGAGATGCAGGAGGACAGACAACTCCAGGGTGCTGAGAAGCAGACACTGAGAAATGGTGAGAGGCAGAAACCGTGCCTGGATTTTCTTTCTACATGACTTTAGTTCTGTCTTTCAGATGTAAGGAATTCTGGGCAGTGAGCCCCAAACCCTGTTTTTTTTTCGGGGCACCTTACAGCAGGGACTTAAATGAATGGTGTCCAGAGTTTCTCTCAAAGAGACATCCCCCTGGAGTCTGTTCTGTTATAGGTGCTGGAGGTTAGTGGTGAAAGTGTAGGGTGGAGGAACTCCAAGCAGACCCCTCTCACTTGGAAACTGCAAATCAGTGGAGGGTTCAGCACTTTAAAGCAGTACTCAGTAACACCAGCAAACCATACCCAGTTGGTAAAAAGGCGAGCTTTCCAATGTTTGAAACTAGTGGACACTGTGAATGCTAATAGAGAGAGAGAATCCAGGCAATGAAGTGGCCCCCTTTTGGAGTAATGTACTGTTTAACAACAAGTCATGCATTTTTGTTGTTCTTTCAGTGACTGTTTCAACAGAGCTTAAATTTTAAAAGTTTTCAGTTGTGGACATCTATGTTATACTTCTACTCAATAATTTGTTTAGATTTTTTTCCTCCCCTAAGATTTTTTTAAAATTCCTGACAATTTATATTCACCACCTGGTACAGAGAAACTATGGAAAAATACAGCTCCAAAAGTGTATGTTTTAGAATATATGCATATATATACACTGCAGTCTGCACTGTAGACGTACGCATATGTGGAGATATTCAAGCTAGCTCTAAACAAGTTAGATCAGGCATTAGAAGGAGTCCAGCCTTGAAAACATGCAGCTGAGTGCTAGATGAATTAATGGCACTGTATCTTGTGTTCCTATAGATAAACTGCTTCACCTGTGCTAACTTGTTTAAAGCTAGCTTGGGTGCCTCTTTTTACTATTCCACAGCATACAATACAGAGGTATCCTTTGAGCTGATTCAAAGAAGAAACTGTTTTGCAATCTTAACTACTGCTGTCACTGTTATAGTATTAACAAATGAAAAGGTTATCCTACTGTACCTGTCCGAGAAATTTGGAAAACAAAATGACAATTCAGAAAGATTTTTTTTTCTTTTAAAACTGAAATAGTTTTAAGACTATGATGGGGCTAAATATGTCAGATGTGCTCACTTGAATGACCAATAGGAATTAAAAATATATCATGGAATGTATACATTATTCAAGAGGTAGTACAGAGAAATCAACTGTAGGATAGGCACAGAATGGAATTTTTAAACACCAGAATAAATAAAAGCCAAAACTTGGAAAAAAGGGTGATTAACTCAAAAGCTAAAAGCAAAATCAAATCAATTTATACTGAAAATA